AATAATAATAATAATAATAATAATAATAATAATAATAATAATAATAATAATAATAATAATAATAATAATAATAATAATAATAATAATAATAATAATAATAATAATAATAATAATAATAATAATAATAATAATAATAATAATAATAATAATAATAATAATAATAATAATGGCAACAATAATAATGATAATAATAATAATTTACCAATAAATTATCATAAATTGTCCTGGCTTAAAAATGATTATTGTTAATTATTATTTAGGTGCGCTATATATTGCGGCGATGTTTGCATGTTGCATTACTGTCCACACAAAAATATCAACTTTTTCTTAATTTAATAATCCATAATAACAATACCAAATGTCATATGGAAATTTCTATGTTATTTGCTACTTACAAGCCATACATTCTTGCTGAGTGGCATAATTTATTGTATGAAAAAGTAAAAATTAATAATTTTCATTTTTTTCTTATTTTCATGAATTTCATTTCAGAAAAAATTTATGTTATAAAAATAATAATTTGCATTTTTACTGTATTTCTTTTGTGTTATTCATACAAAAATATTCAATTTTTTCCATTTTTTTATTTAACAAAGAAAAGGGAACGAAATGTACTGCGACATTTTCTTTTCTTTTTCTTTTTTAATCTAGAGGTGACAATTCATTTCAATTTAGCATCACTAATGTATAATTTTAACAGAATGTTTTGGAGCTGTAGATAAATGATTATCCATTAATTCATTCCTCTTTCTTTTTTGGTTTTTCTCATTTGTGTCAAAAAAACGAAACAGATGGTCGATAGAATTTTTAGCAAATCAATTCTATTTAGTTTCAGAAAAAAAAAATCATAGATGACAAAATTTATGTCACCTGTAAAAAATGTTTTTCATAGTTGGAATTTAAAAAAAAGAAAAAAAATTCAACACTTTTAAATTAACAACAAACGGATTAGAAAAATGCTATTTCTTTTTTTTTTTTCAAAGACCATTTTATGCTGATTTATTAAAATATTAATTAATGCTGTTTGCTAAAATTTAAATTGTTAAATTATAATTGGTAATTTTGAATTGTTAGTAATTGGAATAGGAATGACAGTTTGTTCACTTTTTTTGGTTAACAATTAAAATATTGGAAAAAAAAATTGATTGAAGATTATGACGAAATTTATTGTTTTCAAAAATATTAGACATAATTTGAAATTGTTAGACTTAAATTGTTTTCAAAATTACTGGACTTAATTTGAAATTATTAAATTGACTTTAATTGTTTTTAAAGTTATTAAACTTGAATTAAAAATTTAAATTTTAATTTGCTTATATGCATATAGCTTTTGTTATTTATTCGAATGACAAATATTTATTGTTTACATTTTAATATTAATAGTTTAAATTTCGAAGCAATAATTGATTTATATGGCATAAAAAAAATATATATTATTGAATTTTATGATCAAAATTATTGTCAATTGATGTGGAATGTGCAAAAGGATAAAAATAATCAATTAATTATGGAAATTAATTGTACAGTAGAAAGGAATAGGTTGAAGAATATATTAAAAAATATTGATCAAAAGCATTTTACATGTATTCGATTATGTATAACAAGTGATAACAACGAATATAGTACATTATTTATGCAAAATTTTTTAACAGGTTGAATTATTATCATTGCTAACCTTTGATCTCTTACTGATGAAAATTTTTAAAAACAACAATTTTAAATTTCTTGTATTTTTTTAAATGAAAGTTTTTTAATGAAATTTTTTTTCTTAATTTTTTACAACTTGTTCAGACAAAAAAAAAAAAAATCTATATATGCGATGATACAAGAATGAAATTTGTGTCATATGTTTTCAATCATAATCAAATTTCAATCAAATATTTTAATTGCATTTAAAAGATTTGAATAAATTAAGTTCAAAATTTTCTTTTTTTTCGTTTTTTTTTTTGTTTTTAAAGGAAATATGAAAGAAAGAAAAAAAGGAAAAAAAAGTATAGTTATGTTTTTTTTTTAGAAATTAAACAAAAATTAAGTTATATCTTTATTTTTAATGATATTTTCTATTTTAATTTTAATAATTTATAGAATTGGAGAAAAAAAATTTTGAGCCAAAAATACGACGTATCCGTGAATTGACAGCAATACCGGCAACAACAAAAACAAATTTAAAATTAGGTAAAGATGAAAGAAGCCGAACAAGTATTACTATTCAACATTTACAAACAAGTACGGTAAATACGACAATGTATGTTCCATTTGTATGGATTGATGATTACAATGATTCGATATGGAATGATACGAAATTTAATACAACACATGCAAATGTTACAATTATACCAATAAAACAAGAAGAGAATTTGATTTTTGGTTATTTTAGGTTTGTTATAATTATTAATTTCATTATTCTAATGTTTTTTTTTCTTTCTTTTTAAATTTTATCATCATATTTCATTGTGATTATTGCTGTAAAACATTGAGGAAGGATGAAAGATTGGTCACAAAACCGGATATTAAGTTTAATTTTAAATATTTAAAAGAAATTTTAAGACCAAATTCAAATTTGAAATTATACCAGTTTAGTTAAAGTTAGTCCGAGTTTCTCTTTTTATCTTTTGCATTTTTCTCCAATTTTAATTGATTAATGAGAATTGAAAATGCTCATTATCAATAAATTTGAAATTTTCATAAATTAAAATTGAGACTAATCATTATCACTAATTTCAGATTTTCATCAACCAGAGCATCAAATATTCATTATCAGTAATTTCAGGTTATATGCCTTGATATTACTTGCAATTTTCGTCATACTTCTGCTTGTAATCACAGCAATTGCATGTTACTATGATTGTGAAAATCGTCGTAGCAGCTTACCGCGTGATAAATATGATAGTACCAAAAAGGGTACTGTACCAACAGTAACCATCAAATACGCAGGCGAACAATCTGATATTATAGATGGAAAGAGCATTCGAGTTGTTAGCATTTATAGCTTTTTAACTTTAAAAGTCATGATAAATATAATACAGTATTAGACAAATAATTCATCGTATCATACGGCAGTAACTTAGGTGCAATAACTTAGGTTGTAATTTACTATACACCATGAAATTAAAATTGAAATGATCGTATAATGAAAGCATAATTTAATACTGTAGTTTGTAATGCATCATTAATCTAAAATTTATTACTGTATTGTAGAAACAACAACTAAAATATATG